ATTTTCTTAGAAATATACTTTTCAAAGGAAAATGATTTTCAAGAAAAATTATTTTACATTTATTTTTTCTATTATTTGGTAGGAAGGGAAATATTTTCTTAAAAAGAACGCTTATTTTATTAATATTTTAAAACTGAAATTCTATAGTTACCATATCCAGATTTTAAATTCTACGGAGTATGACACAAGAAAAGAATTTGAAATTCACAGTTCGAATTTTACGGGTCAAAACTTAAAATTTAAAGATTAAATTTTAAATTTCAATTTGTAGTTTTGATTAAAATGAGTTTAATATGAAATGGAAGTGCTGGGAGATATCATGAATGAAATAAAGTCTTTGTTTTTGCCATTCGGTGAGAAGCTATTCAACCTTTAAAAATTAGGGGGTCCAAGGTGGATGTGAAACTCATTGATATTTGAATCGAATCCCATACATTGATATTTGAATCGAATCCCGTAACGCCAGTGTATGAGTTTAATTATTTATAATAGTTTTTTATGTGGCATTGGGGGTCTATCTAAGAACTAGATTGAGGGTGTCCGGGGTGGGCATTCCGCCTTTAAAAAACTAGGGGGAAAATTTGAATCACCAATTTGGGACAATAGAAATGAAATGATTGAAATCTTAGATGAGTTTGATCTAATGGGATGTTTGGAATTTAGATTTGGATTTCAAAGCTAGATTTGCCACAAATTTTATGTTTACTTGCTTACGAACATAAAAAAAATTTGAATTTAGACTTGAGGTAAATTTATTAATTTTGAGAAAAGGGGATATAATTAAAGAAAAGAAATTATGGAAAAAAAGAGGGTGACGAAGGTTGTGTTTGGTTGGAGGGAAAATATTTTCCTAGAAAAATATTTTCCAAAGGGAAATTGTTTTTAAGAATTTTTTTACAATTGTATTTTCTATTGTTTGGTAGAAAGGAAAATATTTTTAAAAATAACATTTATCTTATTAATATTTAAAAACTAAAATTCTGTAGTTACCAATTTTAGATTTTAAATTCTACGGAGTATAACACAAGAAAAAAATTTGAAATTCACTATTCGAATTCTACGGGTCAAAACTTAAAATTTAAAGATAAAATTTAAAATTTAAAATTCAAAATATAAAATAAAGCTTTAAATGAACGACTAGTTGTGGAATCGTGGAAGCCTCCTCCATCGCTCTACTAGATGGTGAGGGGACTATTGCTAACAAACATGCGACTTTCGATGCCTACCCACCTGCTCGAACACCGCGCCTTTTGTGGCTTGACTCGGACTATAACTTATGTAACGCGAATCCTTCAGAGATACTTTTTGCAGTTTTTAGTCATGCACTAGGTGTTATCCGGACCATAGCTACCTAGCCCCTTAGCCAGCTGGCTCAATGTCACTCCCCCACCCCTTCAAGGGATTTTCATTGTGTGGGAAGTCACTCAAGTGTGGCTAAATCCTCCTTAGAGAAAGTGTGCTGAACAATCTCTTCCATAGTTTTATGACATCTTCAGCAAGATCCGACAGGTGATTGAGAAAGTTGCAAAAAAACCTCCTATGTACTCCGAGTTGCACGCTTTCTATGGTGTGAGGGACATGAAGGCAATTCCTCCCGATGCAAAAAGTGTTGTAGATTCACTAATGTCGATTGTGTGTGGATTTGCTCAAGCCATGGAAATCGATTGTTTACATTCTCAGAGCTTCCTAACTAAAGCGTGATGCCAAGGTCGTGACGCAAATCTACACCAATCTTTGGAATCAGTACACTGATGAAATCGATCCAGACGCGCGGGAGAAGTATGTGAGGAGTGCTTTCAATTCACCCTCCAAGCGAGGGTGGCATCTCCTACCTTTTTTCACAGTAGTAATAGGAGGTAGTTGAGGTACTCCTTTTTTTGTGTCTTTGTAGAAGTATTTGTTTCACATTTGAATCAAGATGCAAATTTGTATGGAAAATATCACACCAATACTTTCAGAATTGCACGAGTTTATATAAATATTTTGAGATTCGTTAAATGACATTGATGCTCCTAAAATTTTCATATATTCTCATTGTTGCTTGAAAATTGATATATTTTTCTTCTATGCTCCAAATGTGAGGGCACTAATTTAAACACATAATAATTCTTGGAGCACCGATGTGAGTATAAAGAAAGTTTGGAAATATTAATGTCATTTATTGAATCTCAGAGTATTTACGTAAAATTAATTGTGAAATTCTGGAAAGTAATAAAGTGAACTTTATGTAGAGGATGGGGAGCCGGAGGTTGCGGGCACTTGCGGCTGCCGTTCCATGGAAGGCCCGGAGGGTGTGCAAAGTGGCCAACCGCACAGGGCATTTTACAATTTAGGGCACCATATTTTTAAATTTGTTAATAATTTTAAAACAAAAGTATTCTAAAAATATAAAATATGGCACAAAATATAAATTTTGGACCAGACCAATTTTATTTTTTCATTTTTCGGGACCAGCCCTGTGTCGTTCGATGTTCTCCACACGAGGGGCCACTACACTATTGATTTGGCGGTGGGAGTAGGCGCCACCCGCCGTGCTCTTTGATTTCCTTCGCCGGAAAGTATTTAGATGGTTAGAAATTTAAAATCATAAGTGTGAAACAAGATTTATTAAGTGGTTTGTATGTGATGGTATCCTATGGGAACAACTTTAATTTGTACGGAGTCCTCATTAATTTTAATAATAAGAAAAATAGTATTTTCCTTAATTCCTTTCAACAAAATAATAGGAGAACGAGTCCTCTTCTAAAGTCATTTGTTGAAAGAATAGATTTCGGCTCAATTCAACCTCAAAAACTAACTCAAGAGATTGAAGTACCCAAACTATTAAATAACAGCACAATAAAAGGCTGCATTGTCGTTATGGGATGAACAAGTCAACATCATTATCTCCCGAGTTGATAGTGTTGTATACTTATTGTGTTTCATTCGTAAAATTGATGGTTATTATTCTCTAGCTTCTTTGATAAACCTTCCAATTTGATCCGACCCGAACCTCACCCCTACCCCCTTCAAAGTTAACTAATCTTGACCATTTTACTCCAATTTTTTCGAAGTCAACTAATTTTGGCGGTGGTATTGAAGGGGTTAGTGTAGTAGGTTTGAGTCACGCCAAGGTAGGGGGTTTATCGAGAGTAAAAACAATCGTTTTTCAAAGATATTATCGTAAGTGCTTCAATTGGAGTCAATCTGAAATCACTCAAAGTGAGTGGCTCTAGACCATACTTTAAATCAAACTCAATAAATTTTGTTTAGGACATGAAATGAAGAAAAAATTTTATGTCAGTAATATTAGAGATTTGAGAATTGTACAAAAATACTTGAAGGAGTATATATTAATTACCACTTTACCAATGCTTCAAAAGAATTAATACTTTTACAAAAATTTTCCAAAGTCATATATTGATCATAGATTTAGGCATGTTTGGGAATAACTTTAGAAATTAGTCTAAGCATTTCAAAATAAATTTAATGGTGCAGATTACTATGACTAAAATATGCTCCATATGATTAAGAATTTAAGATATACGAAATATATGATTAAGAATTTAAGATTAATGTAGAGGAAAAAATAATCCGTACATGAGTAATTTTTATCTATTTAAAAAGTGGAATTTTATTTTGGGATATAGGTCCCATAGAATCCATTCACAAGGAGCAAATACTCGCCAGCCAAACGTGGCACAACTTAAATCCATGAAAGAAAAAAAACAAGGACTTGCGAATATAGGATATGTTCAAAGTTCAAACAAATGTGCATCATAAAAGTTGAAAACAAAATAGAATCTTAAACCAAAATTAAAATTCAACATGAGTTGGTAGTGACTAATATTAAGTGTATATGTGACAAAATTAATGCCAATTTGTAACGTAAATGATGCAACCAAAAAAAATAAAAAAAATCCGGGAACGTAGCCTCCACCTCCGACCAATATCGCCCCCATCTAACAGAAATTTTGGATCTGGCTCTAAAAATTGATATGCCTCTGAATCCTTCCGTTGGCCTCATATCCTCCGAGGGAAATTTCTGGGTGACAACTTCCCAAATGGCTAGCTCCCTCAAAGTATGCAACTTTGGGAAGATATTTGTTCATTGATTTTAACTTATATGAAGGGCCCAAGAATCCATCAAAATCTATGACTGGTGAAATTATGTGAAAACCCATGGAATATGGAATACCATTAAATTTAGAGAGCTTTGTAAAAATTCTAATTGAATACGTACAGATTTTAAACTGTTTTAAATCTTAATTGAATATCTATAAGCTTTGATAATACAAAAATATCTTATAAAATCTATATCGAATATACTCTCTTGTCTATAAAAGCTACAACTTTATATATATATCAACTCTTCGTATTTGTGTCATAAGTTAAGTAGGCAAAGAGAGTGAGACGAAGGAAGTACAAATAGAATTTTAATGATAGTACAATAACAATTATGGTAACACTAGAATAAAAAACAAACAATAATAGTATTATGTTTCCTATTATCTTTATTATTCATAATACAGATTCACTGACAAAGGATAAAGTCTGCACGGCTCCATCTAAAAATTACAGAAGCCTCATATTTCACAAAGTTGTCTTCAAATTATTTGTCAAACTTATATTTCCACATTTTTAAGCATTCTCTTCGTCCCAAATTAAACTGCATGTTTAATATTTATGTTGTTACATTTTATTAATTTTCTTTACAAGATTTTGTTAGTCTGATAAAAAATATAATTATATCATCACTTGTATCAAAGAATTTTTGATGTAGTCTTAATTATATAAATTTTATTTTTTTAATTTCACATACTTCTATATAATTTAAATTAAAAAATAAATTTAGTCAAAAATTATTAATTGAAACATGCACTAGACTACTAGAGGCATGAAGTAAAACATTGTGTCGTGTGAGTCAATTTGGACTTTAGAGGGTGAGACCGTACCGTATTTCATTCCCACGCCACAGTGCTAAACGCACTCTTATACATATTCCCATCTTCCATTTACCATTTCCATATTCCCAAATCTCAACTCAATTGATCTCTTCTTTTCTTCTCTGAGCACATAAATCGAAAATTCGACGAATCCGAAGTTGATGAAAATGATCAGAAGACCGATCGTCGACGGTGGATACGTGTACGCCGAGGAGAAGCATCTCACCGTCCGGAAGACCTCCCTTTTCTTCGCCGGCGACGGCTTCTCCGCCTACGATTGCGCCGGCCGGCTCGTCTTCCGGGTTGACACTTACGGCCCCGATGCCCGTGACCGGAGCGAAGTTGTCCTCATGGACGCCGCCGGGAAATGCCTCCTCACCGTCCGCCGGAAGGTTCGTGTGCCTCTTCTTAATATCCCTCTGTTTAATTGAGTTAACTCGTCCAATCACCTTTTGGAGAAAAAAGACAAGACTGAAAAACATTATTGAACTAAACTTAATAATGCACACAATTAAAATGGATTTCCAACCAACTTTCACTCCTAGAGTGATTTCTCAATAACTTATACGGAGTATTTATTACGGAGTATTTTTTTTATCTTTTGATAAAATAAAATAGTCTTGGGTGTCAGTATTTACATCATTCCCAAGTTAAAATAAAATATTTTGGTTTTATACTCGGTATCTATAAGTAACAAACAACAACTCAGTTTAATCTAACGAGAATAGTAACTTGGGTGTCAGCAGTATTTACATCTTTTCCTTATTCGAAAATAGAAAAATTATTTTTTTCCTTATTCAAAAGTTGAGAAATTGTTTTTAATAAATTCATGACTAAGTAACACAAATAGATAGTTTTTACGAAAGACACATAACAAGAGAAATCAAAGAGTACAGAAAAGCAAAAACAAACTAAAACGGAGTTCTCTATACATCATAATAGAGTTATTAGTACTAAAAAAAATTTACTTAATTTTGTCATTCATTTAGAAACAGAAAGTGTTTCACAATTCTTTTAAATCCATTCAAAAAAAAAAAGTCCCATTACTCTACTTTCCTAAGAATATTTGATCAACATTTTTTTCTTTATGTTATACGGAGTAAATAAATTTCAACCATTCATTTTTTTTAACACTTTTAACTCTGTAAAATCAAGCTAATACAATTAACTCTGAATAAAAGGAGTAGTAATAGGAGTAGTAAACTAATGGCATGTTTTGTAAGTTTTGAAAATATGATAATATATGAGTATGAAATCTCGAAGAAAAGATATAAATTTTCAAATCTAAAATAAAGTTGTTTGGAAAAATTCAAAATCATGATTTAATTACTGATAAGTGAAGGTGACCGGCAACTGGTGTGCTTGCCGATTTATGATATTTGTAATATCGAATTTGATATTTTTTTTGCTTCACCAAAGATTAAAAAAATTGATATATAGAGATATCAAAACTCATACTCCGTATCATATTTGCTTACTAACAACGTGTTTGGTTTAAGGAATTTGAGAGTAAAAGAAAAGAAAATGATTTTTCTTTAACCAAACTAAAAAAATGGGAGGAATTTAGTTTTCCATCTTCTTAGTACATTTTGTTTTCTCATTTTATTCTTCTTTCACTTTTTTTTCTTTTTCTCTTTAACCAAACTAAAAAAATGTTTTCATTTTCTTTTTCTTTCCCTCTCAATTTTTATTGAACCAAACATAATGTAAATGTGAAATATTCTTGAACTATACAGACGATTCGTTGATTTGAACTCGGTACTGACTCAGTGATTCTTGTTCCGGAACAGAGGCCGAGTCTGCACAACCGGTGGGAGGGGTATAAAGGGGAGAGGGCGGAGGGGCAGAAGCCGATCTTCAGCGTGCGGCGGTCGTCGATAATCGGACGGTCGAGCGTGACGGTGGAGGTGTACAACAACCCAAGCGAAGAGTACACCATCGAAGGGTCGTTCGCGCACCGGAGCTGCGCGATATACGGCGCCGACAAGGAACGTGTGGCGGAGATTCGCCGGAAGGTGGACTTGTCGGCCAATGTGGTGCTCGGTAAGGACGTGTTCTCGCTCGCACTCAATCCCGGCTTCGATGGGGCCTTCGCCATGGGCTTGGTTCTCGTGCTGGACCAAATCGACGGGGCCGATTATTTCAATAACGATGGGCCTGATTCCCGGGTCAACGCGGAGCCCACCTTTGGTGAGACCACTATTTCTCTTTAGTCAAATACTCTCAAAAAAGAATTTTCTTTTACACTACTTCGCTGAATTTGAACACCTTTTTATTGAACTTTAATATCGTGTGCTAATATATTTTCGTCATTTCTTTTTTAGAATTTTTATTTATTTTTCAAATATTTAAATTTTATTTTTAATTAAAAAGTCAAACTTTTTATGCGGTATGAACGATAGAAAAACATAATAAATCATCTATATTGCTAGAAAATTAGTAGAATTTTATTTTCGAGTTACCGTAGCAAGGAGATCTAAACTTATTTTGAGACAGAACAAATATTATTTTTTTCAGTGCAAATTTCAACAATGAGAGTAACAAGTTGAAGTTTCATGTCATGGGATTTAAAAAAATTTAAATTAAAAGTCGAAGGGTCGAAATTTGTTTAGAAGAAATAATAAAATTGATTTTTTTTTTGCTTTGAAACAGTCAACATTAAGGTTGTTGCAGTTTGAATTTAGGTTCAGTTAGTAAAAGGTGTTATTTGTTTTTTATATCTAAAAGAATGTGCCCCTAGTAATTTGTACTTGTTCGAATAATCAAATCTAAGACTGAACAAGAAAACCAGTGAAAGACGAATAGATCATTCGATCATGAAAATTAAAAAAGTCAAAATCAAAGTTGACTTTATTATATTGAAAAGTAGAAGGTTTGGGACTGAAAAGATTGAGCCCCAAGTAAAATCTGAAATCGATATGACTTTATTATGGCTCTTCAAATTTTTGTTTTTTGGACCAAACAGCGGAATGAAAAAACAGTTTGCCAAATAATTATTTTAGCAGTTTGATTGCTTAAACCCGCTAAAGTCAGTCAAAGAAATTAATAGTCAACCGAAAAAGTAATTTTCCAAACACACTCAATATTTAGTTGCCGTATTTCATAAAAACCAACATTCTTTTTTTTTTTTTTAAGAAATAAAAACATAACAGATGTCTTCTGATTTAGGTGGCTATATTTTAATGTTATTAGATAAGTTTCTAGAAGTATTACTTAATTTTATTCAACCAAAAGAACTAGAGTTTTATTTTAAAATAACCAAAAAGAGAGGTTATGATTTTTATTTTATTTTCAATGTGAATTTCAACAATGATAGAAACATAGTACGGAGTATTAATTGTGGAAGAGTCAACATTTAAGGTTGTTGCATTTTGAATTTAGGTTCGCCCACAAAAAAGTGTTCTTTGTTGTAACTAATAGTCTGAATCCGTATCTCTCTAAAAAAATGCGCCACTATTAATTTTTATTCTCTCCTTCCGGAAATGTTCTTCATATTTGATTTTTTTGTCAAAGCTTGTAAATTTTAATTCTAGTTTGTGGAAAAAATATATTGTATTATGATACTCCGTATAAATTTAATATCAATACATTATATATTCCTAATGAAATGTAGTTTTGAAATATCAATTTTTTATAAGATATATCTATGTATAAATATAGAAATAAATGCTCAAAGTACAATATTGAAAATCGTAAAAAGTCAAATCAGAAGAATATTTTCAGACGGAAGGAATAATTCCTCAAATCAAAATAGTGAACTAGAAACCCTATAAACATCCAATTCTATGATTTTTATTTGAATACGAGTAATGGATGGATGTTAAGACTCATTTGATCAAGTGTTATTAAGTACAAAAGTAGACTAGAATAGTTTGATCACTCTTAAAAGATTGATTTCACATGTTCTTTGAAAATACCTTAGATAATTTATATTAGTATACGATTAATGAATGAACGTTAATATTCATGTGAAATATGTAAATCATAACTTTTAACTTATAAAATTAAATGATAGGAGTTGGAAGGAATCGGAAGAATGTGAAAAGATTTGAAGAAAACTGGAAGAAATTGGAAGCATTCAGAATATTCTGAACGATATACTGGTTAATGTACTAAGATAAGGAAAATATGTATTGCAATATGCCTTAAGAATGATTGTAAACAATTCTGAATCATCTTGTGGAAGCAAAATGAGGTAATGTTGATTTATAGTTACATATATTGATATAATTTAGTGTCTATAAATATTAGTGAAGTGAAAAATAAGGTGATCATAATTTAATTTTACGGACGGGACACCGTACCATTCTCAGGTCATCCCATAACATCGGATCAATATCATTGGAATCCCTTGGCTTTTTTTTACAACTTTTGTTCAACCAGCTAGCTTTTGAGGCCCAATTTATTTCTATTTTGACGCAACTATTCAAAACAAATAAATAAAAAGGAGAATAAGTTACTCACTATAAGCTTTTGTTAAAAAGATTAGAAAAAATTGCATTAAATAAGAATAAAATATAAGATATTTTTCAATGTAGGACTTAAACTTTTTTATATAAAAATAGAATGTAATAATGTCTAGTAAGAGAAATAATGTCCAGTGATGGTTGGACATTTACTTGAATACTGAATAATGGATAATGACTAATGGTCATACATTAAAAAATAAAAATATATTATCTCACATTAATAAATTTATTATGTTCTAGTCCTATTGATGTAGATTTCCCAAAAGATTATTCCGTATAAAAATGAATTACAATATTGTAATCAATAAATTTATGAAGTTCCTCAACACAAAAAAAGAAGGATTATGAAGTAGTAGTACATAAACTTGGACCGCAATTGAGCTGGGCTCTGGGTTTCAGAAACTTTCCAAAAGCTCGATTCATTTATCAAACAAACTTTTATTTTTGCCTAGTCTTGTAATCTTGTGTTTGGCCGGATAACTCGGCCCATTTAAGTACGCAACTCCACTCCCTTGATGTGAAAAAGTAAAAAAGGTCCAAGTGATTAAGAACATGTTCTTTAGAACTAGAAAAAAAGAGCTGGATGTTAGAAAAAATTGAAAGAAACTAAAAAAACTGAAAGAAACTGGAAGAAATTGCAATAAACTTGAAAAATTGAAAGAAACTGGAAAAAATTAAAAAAACTGAAAAAACTAGAAAAAAATTAAATTATCTAAAAAAAACTTTAAATTTTTTTGGGTATATTTTTATATAATTCTCATTCTAATTCTTATTGTTATAAATTATTATTATTATTATTACTATTATTATTATTATTATAATAATAATAATAATAATATTATTATTATTATTATTATTTTATTATTATTATTAATTTTATTTTTGTTGTTGTTATTGTCACGTTATCTTAATAGCAGTTAATATTCTAAAATGCAGTTAAACTTAATTGAAGATACTAAAAACGGAGTATTGTATTTACAATAGTAAAAAATATTTTATGTAATTATCCATAATTTTTTTAAATAGTTTAAAATATCGATGTTTTTCTATTTTATCATGTAGATTAGTATACAAAAAATGGTATTATTCATATTAAAAATTTTGAAGAAAAAATAATAATGAGAGAATCATAAAAATAGTGAGATGAGAAAAATGAAATAATAGTTGTAATAATAATAACAATAATAATAATAACAGTAAAATTGTTTTTAGAGTGATTTGTCGAAAAGTAGAAAAAATTTAAAAAAAATTAAAATAATTGGAAGAAACTATAAGAAACTTGAATAAACTGAAAAAAACTAGAAGCAACTGGAAGAAGTTGGAAGAAACTAAACTAGAAGAAACTAAAACTTAAGAGTTCAAGCTCAAAAGAACAAATTCTAATTGTATTTTCATTGGTTCGTTTTAAAGAGATTTATTTGTTTTTATATTTTTTATATGGTAGGAGTTGGGACAGGGCGGAAACCCCACTGTAAATGCTTTAAAAGTTTCATCCCAGAACCAATTCTCAATAGGAGACAGACCATTATACTAAAATTTGTTTCTTTTTCTTTTTCTTTTTTACTAAATTTGGTAATTGATTGTTAAAATAAGAAGGTTATGTCTATTTTATAGACAACTCGATATAGTTTTTAAAATTATTCTTTTTTTATTTAGAAAGTTTATATCATTATTTAAATAAAACAAATTAAAAATAAACTAAATTAAACGTTATTATCAGTACTTTGACAGTTACCCTGTAATTTGGGAAGGAATGAATTAATTAAAATAAGTTAAATAACTCACTTAATAATTATAAACCGAAATAAAAATTTTATTTTAGAAAGAAAGTATTTACCAATAGACAGGGATGTATATGTCTACAAAAATATGAAATACTCTATAAACCATTAGCCATGTTCTCCATCTCTTACATAGGCTAATTTTCCCATTATTATTTCATATATAAATATTTTTTTTTATAATTCATCCAATTTACATGATTTGAGTTGATGAGATTAGATTAATGGGTAGAGCTCATGAGATTAGTTCAAGAAGAAGAGGCTGTCAATTGAGATGCTCCATGGAACCACTCCGGCGCCGCCGGGGCGGCATTGCCCCTCCGAATGCCATAACCCATTTTCCCCTCGCTTTCTTCTTCTTCTTCCTCGTCGTCCTCTGCATCCCAAAGAAACCGAGCATACGAAGCTAGAACATAACTGCACCCAGAATTATCGTCAAAATTAGTACTAACAGTCTTCATCCTTCATAAAAACGGCTGGGTTCAGTGACCCCTGGATTTCAGTGGTCATGGAAGTCATTGTCCCCCTACTATGCTCTGTTCGTAAAATTGATAATGTCTACCCCTCTTAATCCCCCGGTAACCCTTCTGCCTAGTCTCAAACCCAATTCATCCACCGCCTACGTTAATTGCACTCCGCAAGTACAGATGATTTTAAAGTCTAAAGTTTTGACCTCAAAATCAACTAAAATTGTGGGGTGTAATTGACGTAGGTGGGGGATGAATTGGGGTCAAGACTGGACAGAAGGATTTACTGGGAGGGGTAAGAAGGATATGGATCATCAATTTTACGAACAGAGCATCATAGGTGTCTGAATCGGGACAGTAGCTTCTGTGGCTACTGAATGGACGTCAAAAAACATGTGTGTACAAATTAAACCCTATTCTTTTCTAAAAAAATGTCTTGTTTTTGATATTTTTTTCACAACTTTGAAGGAAAAAAATGTAAAGAAGTGAAAAAAAGGTTATTAAAAGAAGATTTGAAATTTATGAGAAGGATAGAATAAGAAAAGGCGAAGAAATTTGGACATTACGCACACATCTATGGCACCATGTGGTGTACGAACA